TAGCTGATTGTGTGATGGCTGACAGTAGGCTAGACAAGAGCATGGCTGACAGTAGGTTAGCTGATAGTATGATGGCTGACAGTAGGCTAGACATGAGAATGGCTGACAGTAGGCTAGCTGATAGTGTGATGGCTGACAGTAGGCTAGGCAAGAGAATGCCTTCAGTAGGCTAGCTGATAGTGTGATGGCTGACAGTAAGCTGGACAAGAGAATGGCTGACAGTAGGTTAGCTGATAGTATGATGGCTGACAGTAGGCTAGACAAGAGAATGCCTTCAGTAGGCTAGCTGATAGTGTGATGGCTGACAGTAGGCTATGCAAGAGAATGGCTGACAGTAGGTTAGCTGATAGTGTGATGGCTGACAGTAAGCTAGACAAGAGAATGGCTGACAGTAGGTTAGCTGATAGTGTGATGGCTGACAGTAGGCTGACAAGAGAATGCCTTCAGTAGGCTAGCTGATAGTGTGATGGCTGACAGTAGGCTAGACAAGAGAGTGGTTGACAGTAGGCTAGCTGATAGTGTGATGGCTGACAGTAGGCTAGACAAGAGAGTGGTTGACAGTAGGCTAGCTGATAGTGTGATGGCTGACAGTAGGCTAGACAAGAGAATGGCTGACAGTAGGTTAGCTGATAGTATGATGGCTGACAGTAGGCTAGACAAGAGAATGGCTGACAGTAGGCTAGCTGATAGTATGATGGCTGACAGTAAGCTGGACAAAAGAATGGCTGACAGTAGGATAGCTGAAAGTATAATTACTGACAGTAGGCTAGACAAGAGAGTGGTTGACAGTAGGCTAGCTGATAGTGTGATGGGTGACAGTAGGCTAGACAAGAGTATAGGCTGACAGTAGGTTAGCTGATAGTGTGATGGGTGACAGTAGGCTTGACAAGAGAATGGCTGACAGTAGGTTAGCTGATAGTATGATGGCTGACAGTAGGCTTGACAAGAGAATGGCTGACAGTAGGCTAGCTGATAGTGTGATGGCTGACAGTAAGCTGGACAAGAGAATGGCTGACAGTAGGATAGCTGAAAGTATAATTACTGACAGTAGGCTAGACAAGAGAGTGGTTGACAGTGGGCTAGCTGATAGTGTGATGGGTGACAGTGGGCTAGACAAGAGAATGGCTGACAGTAGGCTAGCTGATAGTATGATGGCTGACAGTAAGCTGGACAAGAGAATGGCTGACAGTAGGATAGCTGAAAGTATAATTACTGACAGTAGGCTAGACAAGAGAGTGGTTGACAGTAGGCTAGCTGATAGTGTGATGGGTGACAGTGGGCTAGACAAGAGAATGGCTGACAGTAGGCTAGCTGATAGTATGATGGCTGACAGTGAGCTGGACAAGAGAATGGCTGACAGTAGGATAGCTGAAAGTATAATTACTGACAGTAGGCTAGACAAGAGAGTGGTT